CAGAGGGAGAGGGAGAAGCAGGCTCTCCAAGGACCAGGGAGCCCGACGTGGGGCTTGATCCCAGGACCCTGGGATCATGACCTGAGCCTAAGGCGGATGCTTAACCAACTGAGCCACCCAGGCGCCCCTACTATGCTCTTTCTAAACAAATACCTAAAATAAGTGTCCAGTGGTGACAACTTTCTAAAATAATATTAACTAAAACACTCCTAAAATTAAAAATCTAATCTGTGAAGTTATTGATGTGAAATAATAATGAAATTTAAGAACTACACAAGAAAATTAAAAATTCTTAAAACCAAAATCTGAGAAATTCTACCCTTTTCACCCTACACTCATCAGAAATTAATATAAACTTTTTGGAATTGTAGGGGCGCCTGGGTGGTTCAGTCGGTTAAGCAGCTGCCTTCGGCTCAGGTCATTATCCCAAGGTCCTGGGATTGAGCCCTGAGTCAGGCTCCCTGCTCAGCGGAGAGCCTGCTTCTCCCTCTCCCTCTGCCTGCTGCCTCTGCCTACTTGTGCTCTCTCTCTGTCAAATAAATGAATAAAATCTTTAAAAAAAGAAAAAAACTTTTCAGAATTGTAATTTAAAATATATATTACAACAAAGTTTAAAACTAATTAATGGCAAGCTATGATTACATTATACATCGTTCATAGTCCTACTTATGAATGTTTACCTAGTATGAAATTTTTTTCTATTTTAAAGGAAGTTTCAATGTGAAACTTCATAATTAACAACAGGTCACTCCTTGTCTTTATTTTATTGAAGTATAGTTGATACACAATGTTACATTAGTTTCAGGTGTACAACAAAGAGACTGGACAAGTTTATAAGTTATACTATGCTCACTATAAGTGCAGCTACCACCTGTCACCATACTACCTTATAACAATACCACTGACTATATTCCCTACGCTGTACCTTTTATCCCTGTGACTTATTCATTCCCTAACTGGAAGCCTAAATCTCTCACTATCTTTCACCCATTTTGCCCATCCCGTCATCCCCCTCCCCTCTGGCAACCATCAATTTGTTCTCTGTATTTATCGGTCTGTTTCACATATTTCACATATAAGTGAAATCATGTGGTATTTGTCTTTCTCTGACTTATTTCACTTACCATAATACCCTACTCCCTGTCTTTAATGTCCTCGTAACTCAATGTCACCCAACCCATATGCCTGTGAACATACTAAAGTTGCTACCCACCACATGCCCATTCATATGGTCTTTATATACATTTATATGCATACGTTTTGTGACATAAAGAAATTAGATGAATTTCAACAAGCCATGTAAAAAACTGATCATCTCATTTTATAGTTCCTTTTTTCTCTCCCAGTGGTTTTCTTCATGTTCACTAATATCCAAACCCTGGCATTCTCTTTTAATCTCATGATTTCAAATAATTTTTTTTTAAATGTAGAATACTTCCAAATCTCTATGTCTTGACCTGTCTCTCCCAAGGTCCAATCCTGTATCTGCAACTGGACATATCCCACAAGCCCTTAAAACACATAATGTCTCAAAGTGGTTTATCTTTCCAAACCTATTCTTCCTCCTATGCTTATTTTAAGGGTACCTCAAACTTTGTGGTCACACAGCTCATCTTTTGAAACTTAGCTCATCTTTTTCTTTGGTCTCCTCACCCCCACCCCCACCCATTCCCCACCCTAATCCAAAGCTTTACAAATTTTAGCTTTTCTATTGCCTTGCCCTGGAAGTTCAGCTTTCAAATTCCCTGAAGCCACTTTTCCACTTTAAATCATCTTACCCCGTGCTGCAGCTCTGTATTATTTTCAGAGCCCTCTAGTCAGTGGCCTGTGGGCAATGGGGCAGAGTGAGGGTTTTATAACTGGATTCTTTTGTTTTTTACTTTTTGGCAAGAGGACTAACTTGAAAATGGGCAAAACCATTACACAAAAACATGTATGCCGTGATAATGGCTGGGTAAACATTTTCTCTGGCTAAAGAAGCAGCTCCAGATTTTTGGTAATGTTTCACTTTATGTCAATCAGCAGGGTTAACAGAAAAAATGTGGATCTTGAAGACATACAGATATAGGCTCATTTCCAAATCTCATTTGTTTTACTTTTCTGAAGCTCCAGATTCCTTGTATTTGAAATGAGAAAAACAATAAGCTACCTCCGTAAGGTTAAAATTAAATAGGGCTCACTCTGGAAAACTGTATGGAGGTTCCTCAAAAAGTTGAAAATAGAGCTACCATATGATCCAGCAATTGCACTACTGGGTATTTACCCCAAAGATAC